CCAGTCATAGGCTTTTTCTAGATCCAGAAAACACATGTACCCACGATTTCTCAACAATCTGGCGCAGGGCAAATATGTGGTCAGAGGTTCTTCGACCGGATTGGAAACCACACTGCTCTTCTTGGATCTTGAGGTGAACTATTTCGCGGCACCTCCTTTCCAGCACCTTTGCACAGACTTTACCTGGGAGACTGAATAAGGTTGTCCGTATAACTGGAGTATTCCCTGTGGTCTCCCTTCTTGAATACGGGTACAATAACTCCCGTTGTCCAGTCCCCCGGTATCTTTCCCGCAGTCATCGAGTTTGACAGACAGGTATTAGCTAGCACATGCCTTGTTCGCCTAACGCCTTGAGCATCTCAGGGCGGATTTCGTCAATTCCGGCAGCTTTTCCATTTTTCAAGCTTTTCACAGCTTATGTAATTTCATCTACGGAGAGAGCAATATCCGTACCCTTCTGCTCTACAGACGAGTCTTCGTGGGGTTGAGGAGTTCGTCAAAGTACTGCCTCCATCGCCGAAGAATGTCATCATCCTTGGTAAAAGGGTGTCCAGAGCTGTTCTTCAAGACTCTGAGACTGCCAATGTTTTAGCCTCGGAGCCGGCGCAGGTCTGCCAGAATACTTTGTTTGCCGTGTAGAAATTCGACTCCAACACGTCACAGAATTTCTCCCGGGAATCAGCCGTGGCTTTTGACACTGCTATGGCTGCCGCCTTGCGTGCCTCGACATTTCGCACGCGAGTAGATGGCTCCTTGTTTCCAAGTCATTTTTTGAACGCTGCCTTCTTTTCTTTAACTGCCAGTTGTACCTCTGTGTCCACCATGAAGATCCTTCCTGACTTCCAGAAGGCAGGCCTACCCATTTAAATCCGCAGCATTTGGCGGCAGCCGCGAGTATGCTCATGTTAAAGAGCTGCCACTCGATCGGTTTCCACATCAGTGGTCATCATGAGGATCTGTTCAGACCATTCTGCAATTCTGTTTGCAAATTGTGTCCACCGAAGACAATGTTTCCCATATGATTCTCTGGTTGCTTCTGCCACAAGATCTTCGCATGGTGCTCCATTTCTTACAGCGCAGAGTGCCAACAATAAGGTGATGATCGGTTAATAGCTCTGCGCCTCTTTTAACACGAACATCCACTGCTGTGCGTCTTAGGTCAGACGATCCGATTTTCAAATCGATCATCGACTTCTGTGCAAAGCTTGCCGGTACAAGATATACTGATGCATTTTTCGATGCTCGAAGAAGGTGTTCTTAATGGACAATCTGTTGTTTGCACAAAACCGCAATAGCTTCAGGCCATTACTGTTGACATGGGCCGTTTTTGCCATTCACGCCGTTCCACTTTTCAGCGTCTACTCCGACATGCGCATTAAAATTTCTGCTCTCTGTCAGAATAAATTACATTGAATCGAACTGGAAAGAGAAACAAATTAAATGTTGTCAGCATCTGTTGAAAATGGTCTTGAAAAAGTACTGAAAGGAACTTCAGCAGTCAAAAGAGTTTCGCTGTGA